TAGCGTGTCAGTGTGATATCGTTCTACCCCGACACTAGAAAGAAAGAATAGACTGACGCAGTATCTCTCTCTGTTCTTTCTTGTACTGTTGCCGAGTGTTCCTGCATTTAGTGCTTGATTTTGTCAAGCGCGCTAGCTAAGTTTGTTAAACCGGCCTGCGCAGCGAGCGGGGAACTGTCCTCCTTGTGGTCTGAGTTCATGCTCAGGGGTAGGCAGTAGGCAGGAAAACCACATTTTCCCAGATTTACGGTATCTATCATGGAATCAACGGAGGGGTTGCGATATCCATACTACACAGCCAAAGGGCTGACAACTAACGATTTCTGGATTAACCCACCCACCCCCCCCCCCCCCAAAAAAAAAATCGAACGATTCTCTCTTGATTTAGTCTAGGGTTGTCGCACCCTAGCTCGCATCATGCTTTTTCTTTTTTTTTTACCTTGTAGGATACGTGAACAGCTACCAACTTGGTAACAGAGTTTGTTACACAGCGGTCGACACTTAGCAACCCAGAACGGCACTTAGGTTCCACTGAATTTTCTGCCAGTTTGTTGGCCTCACTTTTAACTCTATTCGGTCATAGTTAGAATGTGCGCACTCCTTCTCCATAGCTATCACTGCTAACGTTTACAATTACCATTCAAACAACGCTTACTAGTATACTTCAGTTAAACATTCGATATATTATGATCATCTTCCTTGACCTTTGGCTCGCAACTGACCAAATTACACGATCCTGTTTGGTTTGTGATAAAGATGAAAGAAAATTGTAAATAATAAAAAATGTAATATTTATGTAATTTTCCAGTATGTAAATATTGATCATAGTAACAAATTAGTTCTACAAATACGACAGAAAAACGTAGGAAGAAAAAAAAATTATGTTGATTATATGAAATCGAAAGTTATATTTACATTTTTTTAAAACAGGAAATTATTCCATTTTAAAAAAAAGGAACCAGTTAAAGAAACGGATGAAATACTTATAAGTGTAAGTTGGTACGCTAAAATAACGTGCCAGTCGATACTTTTTATTGATTACACCTTGTTTGCTTTGATAGCCCCAAGGCTTTCCTTAACGTTCTCCTTGTGCGGTGTGGCGAGGGAATAATAAGATGAGTGATGGGGAGGGGAATGGCAGAAGATAAAATGAGAAAGCCTGGCCTGGTGAAAGCTTCCCTGGGGCGCTGTTTGCAGATTGAGATGGGATTTCTCTGGTTTGGTTCATGAGAAGGCCGGCATTTAAACTGCCGCCATGTTGTGTTGTAACCCAGTTTTGAGTGGAGCTGTTCGAGAGAGGTTTCATTATCTCTGAGCCGGCACCAGCCTTCTTCCATTGACGTTTTGCGCGAGGGCATGAGGGGAGGTGGAAGATAAAAACGTCAATTCAGCTTGGTCTGCGAATTGTCAAGTCCCGTCACGAGGAGCTGACGTTATTGTGGAGCGTTGAAATGATGTACAATTGTCATCAAGTGCCACGCAGTCTAGCGTGTGCGAGCTCGCTCGTGCATATGTAGCGATTTCTAATTTATGTCGGCGTCTGTTCTGTAGATGCTGTGAACGCGTTTCATAATAATTCAAAGGTGCGGGGTTCGATCCAAGTTGCGGCAGTTTGCGTTGGTATTGGCAACGAGAACCGACCGTTTAGATTAGTGGCAAATTGCTGAATGTTAACTTTCCTAGTAAAATCATAAAAGGTGAAAAATGGTTGGATCTGCTGTAACAGATACGAGCTAGCTTGTCCGCTGCATTTCTCAGTTGCTCTTTATCTCACATAAACACGCTACAGCCACGTAATCAAATTTCGGCTATCGTCTGAATAACGGTCCCAAATTACCGAGGCCGAAAATATACCCCAGCAGTCACATATCAATTGCGCACTTCCGGCGACTTAAATTGCGCACTTTCATTGACTTCCGCCACCACCGAGAGTATCTCACACACCGCTACACGAGCAGCAGCTACCGCATCTCCTGCAGCTTCCTTCATTTTATTTGCTCGTGAGTCCCAGCCATCTAGTTTAGCCGCGCGTAGCGTTAAAGGAAAAGGCTAATGAGTAACTTTATTACAACTGATTTAATAATTTTAAAAAATACTGTCTAAATATATTTTTGCCCTGTCTGTCGTTCCGCGAAATGTTTTAATAATTTTCCCTGTCTGTAGGTTTTAATAGTTTGATGTTAATGGCCACATCTGCTTGGGCTTAAGAATGGAGGTGGAGGCGGTCACTGCAGCTTTCCGCTGGCTAGAGAACACGACACACACACACACACACACATTGTAATTGTAACTGATTTAGAAAGCATGCTAAGGAAGATCAGAACAGGTATGCTTTGTGCAGAGTGGCATGCTTCGCTGCGGAGGACACGAGTGAGGAGTATTGTCTGGATTTTTTCACCGGGTCACGCCGGTGTGTTGGGAAATGAACAGGCGGACAGACTGGCTGGCTCTGCACAACTTGGTGGAATACTGCTACATGATAGGGCAGACGTGGTTAGTGCCTTGTGGGAGAGCGTGTACAATGCGGAGGAGCAAATGGATCACCACAGTCTGGTGAGATTAATGCAGTTGGGGGTGACGAAAGGTTCTGGCAGAAGCTCAAGGCTCAGAGGAAAGGCGAGACGGACGTTTAATCAGAAAGCTACTGGCACCATTAGTATCGGAACTCTTCGCTGGCTGCTGAAGATGGGAACGGAGCGCTTATGGGAATGCCCCGAGTGCTGTGATGTCGGTTCTTGAATCAAATCAAATAAAATCTGCTTGAGCTGGATATGAAAACTCGCCAGCAGTGTGGTGCTGTGCAAAATTTTAGAACCACTGTCTCAGAATCGATAAGGCCACACACAAAGACTTGCCCTAGGCTGACAGTGTGCGGAACATGAACTGAAGAACAGCGCCGTGAGTGAGTGCGTGTGGGAAGAAGAGTGGTGCACTGCCTAGATCGATACTGTGTGTACGGGATTAGGCCTGGTGATCTCCATTCTTTCAGATGGGAGTTGAGATATTGTCTCTTAGTAACGCTGGTTCTCTCCCTTTCTCCCTCCCTTCCTCCTCCTCTCCCTCCCTTCCTCCTCCTCTCCCTCCCTCCCTCCCGTCCTCCTCCTCTCCCTCCCTCCCGTCCTCCTCCTCTCCCTCCCGTCCTCCTCCTCTTCCTCCCTTGCCTTATCCTCTTAGCTTACAAGACGCCTCCTCAGATATCTTCTTGAAATATAATATGTCAGTGAGCTCGCTAGAGTAGTTGGCTAAACCTGACTGCGCAGCCAACGGGTGACGGGATATCGCAACCTTTCGGCCTTGATTCCACTGTAATACCGTAAATCTGGGAGAAATGTGGCTTTTCTGCCTCCTACCGGGAGTGAACCCGGACCACAAGGAGTTCATCACCCGATCTCCGCGCAATACGGTTAAGCCAACTACGCTAGAAAGCCGGGCATTTCGTGTGTTAAGAATGTGTCTATTTATATTTTAAATTTTATTGGTGGGGAAGGAGGGAATGGCATAGGGTCTTGCCACATAGTCAAGGGGCTCGGGGTCTTTGCATATGCTCAAGGGGTCGCGGGGTCTTTCAATACGCTCAAGGGGTCGCGGGGTCTTTCGATATTCTCAAGGGGTCGCGGGGTCTTTCCATATGCTCAAGGGGTCGCGGGGTCTTGCCATATGCTCAAAGAGGGCGCGAACTGAAAAAAGATTAAAGAACACAGTTGCTGTTTGGCAGTATTGATTTCTAATCCGCACCCTGGTATGTCGCACCCTGGTATGTCGCACCCTGGTATGTCGCACCCTGGTATGATGAGGATTTATTTTCTATTCTCTAAGCCAGCGGCTCTCAACCTGTTGGTCACCACCCTTGAGGAAAAGGGGGGGGGGGGCGAACGACGCTTTCACGGAGGTCGCCTAAGACCATCGGAAAACACATATTTATTGAAGTTATTTAGAAAAATAGTGAGAGGGGGGGGGGGGTCGCCAGAACATGAGGGAACAGTAATAAAGGGTCGCGGTATTAGGAGGATACTTAAAGCCACATACCGCCGTACAGAGGATGGAAGCTCCAACAAACTTGTGACCCGTTGCAATATAGTTCCTACATTCGTTCGTTTTTTTTTTTTTAAATTCAGTCGCTCTCTTTCTTCTTCTTCTTTGCGTTCACCAGCTGTACACTCTGGTGGAAAGTTCTGGTTGCTCGTCCACTACTGAACTGCAGTCCTGCTCCAGAACCTGAGTGTTGAGTGTGCATCAGTTTTACAGATCTCATTCTCTTGAATACAGACTGTTGGTTCCTTGCCTCTCCGGCAGATGCACTCCGACTTCAAAGGAAGCTCCCCAATTAGTCGACTATTACGACATGCTTTTGGGGAGGCAGTGGGTCTATTCTTGTTTTCCCCACAATGGGGCCCCGGAACCCACACGGGGGGGGGGGGGGGTCGCTCTCTCTATTTGTTTACCTCGGGCACTTTCTTTTTCTCCCAGTTTTTCTCCTTTTCTCTCTTTCAATTTGTATATCTTTCTTTATACCTTTTTAGAACTCTATATCTCCATCTTTATATTTATGTCTTTCTTTATGTTTCTATCTTTCTTTATATCTCATATTCTCACGATATTTTTATCTCTCCATTTCTGCCTCTCTTTCGCAGTTAACCCCCCCCCCCCATCCTTCCACCTCTCCATTGTATCTGTGTATATCCTTATTCTTCCTCGTCAATTCCTCTTGTTATTGGACGTGTTTATCAGTGAGTGTGTTCGTCAGTAAATATGGTATATACAATCAATCTGTTGGCATCCTTCTCCGCAGTGAAGGTTGACTACAAGGGATCTCCAACATGATCTATCTCTTGTCCAGACTGCTTTTGTTCCCGTTTTTTATGTTTTCCTCCCACTCTTATCGTTGTCTACCTCTTGTTCTCCACCCTCTATCCCTCCCTTTCGAAATTGTTATGTCTGTTAACGTGATCACATACAGTCATACAAATAAGTACATATCTTTAACTGTCTTGTCTCGACAGAAGACAGAAAACTCTTCGTGGGTATGTTGAACAAGTCACAGACAGAGGAGGATGTGCGGCAGTTGTTTCATGCTTACGGCAACATTGAGGAGTGCACCATTCTTAGAGATCAGAGTGGCAACAGTAAAGGTATGTACTCTTTGAACTCTCGGCTGTTCCAAGGATGGTCTTTCTGTTGGGGTCTCTATCTCTCTCTCTCTCTCTCTCTCTCTCTCTCTCTCTCTCTCTCTCTCTCTCTCTCTCTCTCTCTCTCTCTCTCTCTGTGTCCACTTCCTACGTTCACCCTCCAATTTTTAGGGTAAACAGCCCTGCTGCCTCCCCATATGTGCGTATCGTAAAAGTAATTTGCTGAAAATAAACGGGTGGAGTAGACAGGCACAAATATCACAGCCTAGCTGTAAATTAAACAGATAAAACATGTAGGTCAGTCGTGCAGTTTTAAAACTGCCACACCAGCCTAAAAAGTGGTTCTAACGGGCAGTGACAACATTTGTAAAATTTATATTTTCCTTTTTGAAATTTCTCTGTAAAAAAAATTTAGCACGAAAATAGCCTACTGGACATGTAGGTAAAAAAAAGGGGGGGGGGGGGCGCCGAGAATTCTACGAAAATGGGATCCTCTGTGGATAGCCGGGAATACTGGCGTTGGGTGCCTTATCTTGGGGCGTTACAAAGCTGTACAGTGTACATGAAGGCTAACCAGATGTCTGAAGAAAGGCCCAAATATCGCTGCCATGTTGTAAGCGGGAACAATGCATTTATATCTGTGGAATGATCCACTACTTAAATTTCTATTTATCTTTAAGCGCTACATTCTAGCATCGAACAAGTATACTAATTAATGTACAGTGTATCAAAACCACTAGTTTGCAGGGTAAGGCTGACACCAGATCAAGAATCTTTGTAAATATTGTGTTTGTAGTATTGTTTTTCTGTACTTGCAGACATACAGCTTTTCCGCCCATTGCGAACATTCATTATTAGAAAACAACCCACTTTTTTGCTGTAAATACACAAGTTCGATAACACGGTATTTTTGCCGTTTCCGACGTCTCAACGAAATTGCCTCAGTTCTTTCCCTTGTAAAAGCCCTTGAATAAATTAAGTTTCTCTCTTTCGAAACAAAAATATTATTTATTGCTAGGATGTTTAGAAAACATCAGTATAGCAAACACTGCTAGGAAACGTCGCTACAGAAGTATTTGAAATCGGTTAACTTGTTGTTGTGGAGAAACATGATTTACATAAATGTAAACGAAATTAACAGCCATGTTCAGTATTCAGCATAACACGTAGATAACGTGAAGTATTATTCGGTTTGCTGAGTCATGATTTATTGTCCTCATTTTTGCTGTTGTTAAGACTCTTGTTCGAAGCAGTCGCTAATAAATCTATAAATGAAAAGTTGCTCCTCCCCCTCCTTTTCCCCGACCCTTACCGCATTGACTCATAGATACTTAGCTTGTAATTGTGTGAATTTTCCGGTTTCTTCATTTTACCTTATCCATTTATCTTGTGAAATTGTCACACATCCGTTTCTACAACTTTCTTATTTGTATGCAGACTCTTAGTTCCATGCCACTCACGCAAAGCATTCACGTCGTAGAAGGAAAACCCTAAATAGTTGACTCTTACGACATGCTTTTTGAGGGCAAGGGGGGGGGGCAGTGAATCTGTTATTTTCCCCTCCACATTGGAGCCCCGAACCCGACACTTTTTTTTGCCGTTTTCGACGCCTCAATAAATTGCCTCAGTTCTCTCTGCCTCGCCATAACTTGTTTGATTTTCTGCTCCCTTTAATCTGTTTTGAAGCTCTTATGTTTTACTTCCCACGCCATCCTCGATCTGGTGTGTAGTAGTAGTAGTACATTTTACCCCACCAGGACATCACACAAGCGATAAACAACCGATGACAAAAAGTGCCACCATGTAGATGATCACCCGTGGAGAGGTCCCAGAAACCGCGTTAGCCATTTGACCATATTTTTTTTACCAGAGCCAGGTTGGGGCATCAAAATAACGAAAATTTGCATCTCACAAGCGGATTGCTAATATATTTTTAACCAGGGATGTGTGTTTGTGTGTCATTATTGGTCGTGATCCAGGTCTCTCCTACGTCTTTGTTACTGTCTTACTGTCATTCTGTGTTTTTATTTCCTCCCCTATATCTAATCGCTCGCCTCCCCCCTCGCCCTTTTTTTTCTATTTTGCGCCCGCTACTCCCTCCAATTTCAGGGTCCTTATCTTTGCACCACCCCCTCCTCCCTCTTTTTTCTACTTCTTATTCTCGACCCAATATTTTTTTCCCCTTTTCTCGGAAGCTCTCTACAGAATGAGTGTTGCTGCCACAGGCGCATTGATTGAATACAAGCATTCCATTAAATTCTGCAGGAGAGGGGGGGGGGGCGGGGGGGGGGGGGGGGGGGGGGGGGGGGGGGGGGGGGGGGGGGGGGGGGGGGGGGGGGGGGGTGGGGGGGGGGGGGGGGGGTGGGGGGGGGGGGGGGGGGGGGGGGGGGGGGGGGGGGGGGGGGGGGGGGGGGGGAGGGGGGGGGGGGGGGGGAGAACAGCCTAGGGGGGGGGGAGGGGGGGGGGGGGGTGGGGGGGGGGGGGGGGGGGGGGGGGGGGGGGGGGGGGGGGGGGGGGGGGGGGGTGGGGGGGGGGGGGGGGGGGGGGTGGGGGGGGGGGAGGGGTGGGGGGGGGGGGGGGGGGGGGGGGGGGGGGGGGGGGGGGGGGGGGGGGGGGGGGGGGGTGGGGGGGGGGGAGGGGGGGGGGGGGGGGGGGGGGGGGGGGGGGGGTGGGGGGGGGGGGGGGGGGGGGGGGGGGGGGGGGGGGGGGGGGGGGGGGGGGGGGGGGGGGGGGGAGGGGGGGGCCTAGGGGGGGGGGGGGGAGGGGGGTGGGGGGGGGGGGGGGTGGGGGGGGGGGGGGGGGGAGGGGGAGGGTGGGGGGGGGGCGCGGGGCGGGGGGGGGGAGCCGACTAGAAAAGGGAGGGAAAAACTAAAGAGCTGGGATTCTTGCTGGAAGTAGGCCAATCGATTTGTTTAGCCCGCCAATTCAAGGAACCAAAACAGCGCCATATTTAGACTTTAGTAAAAAAAAATCAGGGAACGTCATTGAAATTACGCTGTAAAGCTAACGATAGATGAGTTATATTTTGAAAATATGGCCAGGGACTTTGAAGGAAAATTAAATGTTTTGTGTGTATTAGGGAGCAAATTTGTTCCCCAGTCGTGTACCCAATGTACTGTAATTAACCAAGAAATGTTTACGCTGTGAGACTAACGGTAGATAAATACTATTAGGGTTGACCTTGAAGGGGGCTTAAATGTTTTGCGTTTTTTTTTTTAAAGTGACAGTCTGTACTCCAGATTCTGCATCTTCTTGTTGGTGTTCGCGTTTTGCGGCTGTAAACTCTGGCGGAAAGTTTTGAGCTGTTCTTGTCCTTCTGGACGCTGGTCATGTTCCAGAATCTTAATGCTGCATGTACATTCGCTGTACAGATCTGATTAGTTTGTATGCAGACTGTTGCTTCTGAGGCAGGTGCATTTAGCTTCCGAAGGAAGCTTCCAGTTCGTCGACTCTTACGATGAATTAATCAAGTAACAGAAAGTGTATTGATCGGCACTCATAGAAAGAAGTAGAAAGATATAGAAGAACACACTAGACAACATAAAAATCGAAAGCTATAGTTACCGTGCCGGGAATTGAACCTGTCACCTCCAGGCGAGGTCTGCGTCTCGCTGTGGATACAAGTGCACTAAGAACTTGGTCAACTAAGCGTCCCAACGAGTGTGCTTTTGTTTAGTCAGTAGGACTATTCTTGTTTTTCCACACAACGAGGCAATGGAATCCACACGGGGATGTATTCATATACAACTAGACACCTTTAAAGTTGAAGGGGAACGAAGAAAAGTATGGTATGCAGAAAAGAAAAGAGACGCAGTGGATGTCGAGGGGAAGGATTCATTATAAAAGAAGAGAAAGAATAATAAAAAAAAAAAAAAAAAAGAGTAAGGAGAAGCAGCAAATGGACAAGAAAGAAGTAATTATTGAAAAGAGGGGGGGGGGGGGAAGGGAATAATAAAACAGCTGAAGATAAGGAAAGTGCGACTGCATTACCGTCAAGAGCTGTAAAGAACAAATTGGGGTAAGGGTGGGGGGCAAATTAAATCAGAACTAGGTTCTCTAAGGTCATCTTGAGAGGACGTGACCGCTCTCCGACACAAGTCTTAACTTACTAGTGGCCCATAACGAACTGAACATCCCATCTCCAGACCTGGCGGGAGTTCGTGGTGTCCTGACCACAACCCAAGGGAAGTCAGGGTGACACCAACAGAGGCGGGGACCTCATGCGAGATTTTGTGTTCCTATGGCATTAGCGTAATGCTAGGTTAGGACAACGCTAGAAAACGTTTGTTGGGAGTCCGAGCCCTCGCTGGTCCCTAAATCCAGAATATTTCAAAGGTAGATTAAAGGCTGAAGCATTGGCTTAGTGATGTTTTGAGGGGTTGACATTTCTGATGGTTAGACGCCTTTGTTGCTTGGTGGAAAACATAGGCAGTATTTCTAAATGATGCAAATTAGATGAGAGAGATTCATGTGTTTTAGCAGCTAGACGATCGCCTGCTGATCCGAAGATCGTGGGTTCAAATCCGAATAGAGCCAGATTTTTTCAAGGTGACCTTGCCTCTCAGGTCGACCCAGCCTGTAATGGGTACCGAGTAAGTTATGAGAAAAGGGCGGTTGGCGCGACATTGACATGTCACCAATGGAGCGCTGTTTGGGCTATAAAAGTATGAGTCTGGCTTCATATACATAATGCCCCACTAGCGTGTAAAGGAACCCTTACTTTAAATTGAGAGATAGAAAGAGTGTGTTGAAGCTTATGTGGAGCCAATATTTTCACATATGGACAACAAGCAAACAAATTAAAGCACTGGAAGTGGAATTGTCTGTGACCAAACGCGGAGGATAACAGCCATGTCGTAAAATAACACGAGGCTGTCCTTCAAAGAGCAAATAAAAATAATAAATTATGTAGACGTAATCTTCGTCGCCTTATTGTTATTATTATTTCTTTTTCCTCCTTCCTCCTCTTCTGCCTTCTTTCCTTTAGTTACTCCATCGAAGTC